TCTGGCATTGCAAGCTTCCACATGGCTATTGCCTCTCACTTCTCAACTATCGGAACGGGACTCATTCTAGTATTGCTGCACTTCAGGGCAGGGGAAAGCAATTCACAAAGTTCCATGAAAGCGGCCTTCCATATGCAAAAGTTTTGCAGCAGCTGCTGATCACCCCCTAACTCAGGGATGGGGAACCTCAGGCCCAGGGGTTGGATGTGGCTCCTGGCTTGCCTGGATCTAGTCCCTGAGGCTCAGTCCCTCTCCCAACTCCCCAGGAGCACCCCCCCTCCCCCTGCAATCCTGGCCATCGCGGGCAGTCCTTAGTGCGGGCAGAACAGAACAAACCCTCCTGTGGAGGGGACTTGCACTACCTCCCCCCCTTTTCCCTAGGGCACCCCATCCCCGCCTTGCACACCCCCTCCTGGGGTCCCATGGGTTCCGGATTATTGGAAGTCTAGTGTATAGTTTTCAAGTATACCGCATAATTTATCAGGAGCAACATTACAAAGATTAGTAGTTAGACAAAATGGCATTGTAGACTGGACAACAAACTGTTAAGTTAATGCTTGTTTTTAATCAAAGTTATCCCTAGGGTATTTATAAGGTAGTTCTGAGAATGTATGATCGATTTAGGTCTCTGGGGGGAATGTCAAGTGCACTGAGGTGTGTGCCGCGTAACGAAATTCAGTTTCCTGGGACTGTGAATAAAATCACTTATGCGATTTATGATCCTCCTTTATTTTTACAGACCATGTAAAAGAGAGACTGCAACTTTCTCCCAAAAAGGGGAAGTCCACTGAAGGATTACATATCATATCTCTGAAGGTGCACCCTGAACTTAGACAAAGGAAAAAAGTGCCCCTTTAAAATGTAACCTCTATGAACTGATCCCTGGTGGAAGTGACATACATCTCCCCCCTTCAGACCTTCAGACTCTGGTGAATGAGATGTAGAGGAAGAAAAGGGAAGTAACTCACCCTGTGCAATAACAATAATTCTTCGAGATGTGTGTCCTCATGGGTGCTCCACTGTTGGTGTTGGGCTCGTCTCGCGCCACAGATCGGAGATTTTTTTTTAGCAGTATTTAGTTGGGACGCGCATGTGCTGTTGCAGGCACGAGCTGTTTGCACCTTTGGAGTTTGCGTGTGCTGCCTGACTCCCCTCAGTTTTCTTTTTGTACACCAAGTTGTAGAAAATGGATCCGAAGAAGAAGGGAGGAAGGGTGGATTGTGAGCACCCATGGGGGAACACATCTTGAAGATCTGTTGTTATTGCACAAGGTGAGTAACTTCCCTTTCTTCTTCGAGTGATGTCATCATGGGTGCTCCACTGTTGGTGACTGTGCAGCAGTACCCCCACCACCACTTCGGTGGGCTTTGAATCATGCAATATGGGCAGAAGAGAGAACTGCGTCCGCCACAGTGGAGCTCCTGAGAGCTTGTGATGGTATTGCATAGTGTCCCATGAAGGTAATTCTGGATGACCACATAGCCGCCGCACAGATATCTTTCAGCGAGACTCCCTTCAGAAAGGCCACTGAAATAGCTACAGCCCATATAGAGTGTGTTCTCAGGAGTGGAGAGAGTGTTTTGTTTTGTAGCAAATAACATTGCGTGATACACAATGTAATTACTCTGGATATAGGATGGGAGGACAGAGGTATGCCTTGAGAACATTCCACAAGAGAGAGAAATAGACTTTGCGATTTGCGGAAGGATCGCGTACGATCTATGTAGAATGATAATGCCCTGCGGACATCCAGTGTGTGTAGTGCCACCTCTTCACGGGAAGAGTGGTTTTGGGTGAAATGTAGGGAGAACATTTTTTGAGGTAAGTACATCATATGGTTCTCCTTCTACTGTGAATTAGGACCTTTTTTACTTGACGTGAACATGCCTTCTTCACCTCTGAGAACCAGAGAGAAGCCATGCTGTCAGGTGTAGTGTTTCTGGGTGTGAGAGAAGCAGTCTCCCTGCGTTCTGGGATAGGAGATCCTGGCGACTCAGACGGGGGTAAGAAGGTTGAGGAGACATCTGAAAAAGATAAGGGAACCAGGTCTGTCTGGCCCGGGAAGGGGCTATAAAAGTGATTAGGGCACTGTCTGTTTCAATCTTTCTTAGCACTCTGGATGTAAGAGACATTGGAGGGAATGTGTAACATAGGGGAGCTTTCCATGGGCAGAGGAAGGCATCCCCAAGAGATACTGGTCTTATTCCCATTCTGGAGCAATACTGGGGACATTTGGAATTCTGATATATTGCAAGGAGGTCTATCGTTGGGAATCCCCATCGGTGGAAGAGGGAACAGAGAATGTCGGGACGAAGCTCCCATTCATGGTACGTAGTGAAATTTCAACTCAGAGCATCTGCAGTTGTATTGCTGACTCCTAGAAAGCATGATACTACAAGGTGAATATTGTTGTGAATGCACAAATTCCACAGGCGCACAGCTTCTGCACAGAGGAATGGAGAGCAGGCATCACCTTGGCAATTGATGTAAAACATGGTGGTAATGTTGTCTGTGAGGATACGCATTGTGGAGTTGCGAATATGTTGCAGGAAACATTTGCTCACTGCGCAGAGATTGAGGAGACTGATGTGCCAGCATGATTTGTGGGTGGACCATTTGCTCTGGGTGCAATGGCCATGCCTGTGTGCACCCCATCCCAGTAGACAGGCTTCCATAATTATTTGTATAGAGTGTTGTCTTTGGTGAAAGGGGACACCCTTGAGGAGATTCCTGGGATTGGTCTACCATTTCAGGGAAGCGTGAACCCTCATAAGGACAGTTATGTGCTTGTGCAGTTTGTGCCTGGATGAGGTATAAATTGAGGCCAATCAATGCAGTAGGCAGCTTCATCGATTGGCAGTGCGATCTTGGTTTTTGTGGGATGGTTGTAAATTTTTAAGAAGCCTGTGTTGTTTTCCTTGCACTTCAGATAGAGTGACTTCCTGGCTAGTAGCAACCCTCTTGAAGAGCTCCTGGAACTGTTTTAAGTCATCAGTGGGGGATGAGTCATCTGGAGTGAAGAGGTTCCCAATTGGTTAGGGTCATCGTCATCCATGATCTGTCCTTTCTCGGCTTCCAGGTCTTCTATTGGGGGAGAGGAACATGGGAGTGAGAGGGTGGCTCCGATCTGTAAAGGGGAGTTGATGATGGTAGAGATTGCTGCCTGGGTGGTGCCCAGTATCTATATGGGACTACCTTGACGAGTAATGCACATGATATGACCATTCTGGATACCATGGAGCTTGATGGAAATACCAGGATTGGTGCCGTTGATGAGGTGTATTCAGTCTATCTGGCAAGAAGTTTTGGGAGGAGAAAACACTCTTATGGTTTTCCTCATAATCACTGAAGTGGGGCAGGATGGGTGATCTGGGTGAGTGAGCCATCTCTCTGAAGGGTGGTGGTGAGACCAAATGTGATTTAGCTGTTGGCAGCGTGCTGCGAGCGTGCTTGTAAGTGGAGTGGCACTATTTGGAGGCGTGTTCTCCCAGTGTAGCTGAACATGGTGCCGATGGCAGAGGCATTGGTGCTGGCAGGGATGGTACCAGTCCCGGGCTAGGACAGAGGGGCAGAGGTCTGATTGATTTTTCCTTGACCTTTGTCGGTGCCGGTGGAACGGCCATGGCCAGATCTCCTAGGTGCTGATGGTTCCGGGCCTCGCAGTTTCAGTTCCACACCTGAAGTGGCAGAGGGGTGTCTCTTGCCAGAGGTGCCTGGCTTGTCTCTCATGCTGACTCTGGGAGGCAAAGAGTGTGCTGGGGAGGCTCTTTTCTTTGGGGTCGGTTTAGACAAAGGCGAGCCTGACCATTTCTTTTGTTTAATGGGAGTCTCATTCTGAGTACTCCCCTCCTTATTAGCTTGAGGCTCTAGTGCCTTGTCAAAGAGAAGCATCCTAAGTCTGAGCTCTCTGTTCTTTCTGGCCGTTAACTTAGAACAGTGGACATACGTCTGCGGGATGCGTGCCTCACCCAAGCATCGAATACATGACCCATGTCCATCCAAGACTAGCATGGGGTCACAACATTTGTCGCACTTTTTAAAGGCAGGAGACCCCTTCATTTCTTTGTCTTACCTCAGTGTATGCCAAAGAGAGCCGGTCAACAGTCCAGTTTTGAATGCGGTACCTCTGATGCAGTCAGTATTTTGCCTATAAACTTAAACTGTCCTTTTTTTATTATTACAACAGTGCAAAGAAAGGTAACGGTAATTTTCAACTAACTACGAACTAAAATTTCAATCTACAGGAACTGTGAAGGGAGGAGGGATTTTGATTCCATCTGTGACTAAGGACGGTAAGAAGAAAACTGAGGGGAGTTGGACCTTGTGCGCAAACTCCAATGGCATGAACAGCTCGTGCCTGCAACAGCACATGCGCAGCCCAACCAGAAACTGATGAAAAAATCTCTGATCTGAGACACTGGGACGAGTCCAACACCAATAGTGGAGCACCCATGGGGACATCATTCGAAGAACGTAAGATGTTTGTGAATTCTGATAAGAATACAGAAAATGAGTTACAGTAATTGTAATTTAAACTGGACAGAAGCTCTACTACATAACTGTATTTACACATATACAGGAGTGTGTACTATGCTCATCACAGGCACACATCCTCCCAACCCCCCCAAATCCTCAACGTTTTGTAACAAATGTTTTCCATTTTTTCCAGATTTTTTTTTTTGGGGGGGGGGGGGGGGAGAGAACAAAAGGCAGCATTAGTATGTTTAAAAAAATCTTTCTGGCAAGTACTACTGAAACATAAGTTCTCACCTAAATATTCAGAAATCAAACACTGTTATTAAATCTCTTTGTGTGTATTACTAGAGAAGGGAATTTTTGCCATTTACTTTAATGGGCCATGGTTTCATCCTGAAAACAGAACTCTTTCTGTGTCTATCTTATACAAGGTAAATTTGGGGAAACAACAGCACATGGGGCACATTCTTTTATCTAACTCTAACCTATATACTAAAAGTGGCTAATATTTATATATAACTTACCTGACAACTTTGGTGCCATTACGGAATGCTTGGATGTCTATGACATAACTGCCCTCAGCATGGGCTATCAAGTTGATCTCTGAAAATTTTGCCTATGGAAAAGAGGCTCAAATTAGTCAACTTGCTTTTATTTTACCCACATTTTAACTAACTTCCTTCAGAAGTATAACTAGTATTGAAAATAAATACTTTTCACCTAAAAAAGGCAGGCACATACTATCACCAGCTGGACACGACCCCCTTCCCTCCTCTTCACTGGTGTCTAGCTGACCAGATATACTCCTCTGCTTCTCCCTTCTTCCCTGACCGTGGCTTTCTTAGTTATAATATGTGAAGCTTTTTATCGTGCCTTTGGAATGTTATCTTTAGTACAATGTAATTTCTTGTATTCAAGGCCATGAGGCCTCACTTTGCTTAGAAACCATATTACTTATGAATATGTATGTAACCTGTGTAATGTATGTGAGGTGTAAATGAGAAATACCCAACCAAAAAGACGGTTTAGGATGTGACCTTTTAAGGCAGAGAAAGACCCTGCAAGCAGATAAATTAACTGAGAAGTGGCCAGAAAAATCTCTCTCTCTCTCTCTCTCGGACAAAATTTAACATCACAGCAGAAACCTGAGACCGGCACAAAGGAAGTAAAGCCTCCTGCAGATCCGAAGGGATCTCCCAAGGAACAGCGTGATCAAGTCTCCGGGAAGCTGATGCCTGGCCAGCATTTTAGCCACCAGCAAAATCAAAAGTAATCTACACAGCATTTGCAGCTTGCCTCCAAACTGCCAGCATGAATGTGATGTATGTTTGTGAGTATCACTTTACTCTTAAAAATCTGTGCCAATAAACAATCCCAAAAGCAATACTGCTTCAGCCCACCCTTTGTCCAGATTTGTTCCTCAGAAGGCCTGAGGAAGTGCAACACATTCACATCACTACAAATTTGTAATAATTTTAACATACTAAAAGAAAAAAAGGGCTATAGAATAAATGTAACCATGACAAGGACCTATTTGGAGCTCAATTACAGGCTAAGCATATTTCCTTTTTAATCTTTGTGTAAAATGATTGATATTTATTTTTGCTCTGTGTGGTATTTCAGTGGGAAATTAATGAAGCTACTCCAAGTTGTAGCCTAAGTTTTCCAGAAAACATATTACCAGACTCTGATTTGTAGGTAAATGCCATATGTAGACAAAGTACCTACTTATAGCATGGCTACGTCTACACTGCAGGCTTTTTGTGCAAGAATGGCTATTCTTGCGCAAAAACTTGCAGAGAAGCTACACTGCATGTGTATTCTTGTGCAAGTAAATTTACACTAAAGCGTCAGAACAGAGGGCTTCTTGAGCAAGAGTTATTCCTCTCCCCACGAGGAATAATCCCTCTTGCACAAGAGTGCAAGAAGGCAGTGTAGATGGGCAACAGGGGTTTCTTGCGCAAGACAGCATCCACACTGCCATGGACGCTCTTGCGCAAAAGCACATCTCTTGCATTTTTGCGCATCTTTTGCACAAAAGCTCATGGCAGTGTGGATGCGCTCTTGTGCACGACCTTTTGCGCAAGAACTCTTGCGCAAAACAGTTCTTGTGCAAGAAGCCTGCAGTGTAGACATAGTCCTTGTGTCTGAATGTCTCTACATATATTCTTTTAAAGAGGTTCCACATCAGGTATCCTAAGCAAAGCACCATACACTTAAGATTCCTATCCATAAAAGTACGTCCCAACTCTGCAACAGACTTCGTAACAAGAAGATCCTAGAGCCCACGTGGCATTCCAAATGACTTCTGCATGTCTCCACATGGGACCTGCTTGCATGACAAGAACTACAAGATTGGCTGTATCCCTAAACACTCCTTCTGATCCTTCCATGACTTTCTATGCTTCTGAGTTAAAAATGTGGGTCAGAGTCTCAGCTGGCATAAAGCAATGTGATTCCATTCAATTCAGTAGAGCTATATTGGATTTACATTACTTGAGGTCCTGCTCATCGTGTTTTGCTATCTTAGAGGCTTATTCAAAAATTCCAGAGACAAAACAATCCCTTTTAAGCAAAAAGATGTGCAAAATATTCATGGCTACATTCCATTTTACAGTCACTGAATGCAAGCAAAAAATGTGTTTATGGCTTTTTTCAGAAATCCAGTTCAAGTGAAAAATATATAAATCCTCTAAGGCACTCCAAATATAAATGGATTTACACCATATTTAGAAGTAAGTGCTAACACTGCAATTGGAGTACATGTACATTTTAAAATTAATTTAAGGTAATAGAGTGAACCAGAAAAAGCCAACCTTCAGTTCCATTTGTCATGTAGGAAATCAGCTTTTGATCATTTCATATTTGGATCACCATGCAAAACTGAGGATATTCTAAGAGCTGTTGTCACACCTCAATACCCCCCTCCCCCCCAAGAGGTCCCCCTGGGGAGACAGGTCAACACTGAATATTGCTAACGTTGTTGCAAGCATCGCAGAGCATTTTGGGGAAGGGTCAAAGGTGTGAGTGTGGAATGAATAAAGTATTCCTTTGCAGGTCACGAGAGGCCAAAGGGGGGGGGAGACGAAGAGAGCAGAGAACGGGTTAACTCCACACTCTGGCTAGGCCAGAAGATAAGACGCTACTCCAGACAGCTGAAGGCCACAGCACACATCTGACTCTCGGCTGCCAGCCAAGAAAGAGGGGGGCCTGGAATCCACCAACCAGTCATAAGAAAAACATTCAACTGAACCGATCTGCAAAGCCAGCCCATAACAAGCAAGACAAGCAAAGGCCAGCACAGAGGAAAGCAAAGAGAACAACAGAATCTAGCCGGTGTGTTTTGGGAAAAGTCAAGGAGACCACAGAAAGCCGGTTTGGACTGGCACAAAGAGCACCAGAAACAGAGGTCGCAGAATGGAACACCCCCAAAGAACCTCAGGACTTAAAACCCTCTTGAGAGCTGGAGAAATTCGGAGAGATCACAGTGGACCCTGGATGACCTGTGCGCACAGGACCAAACTCCCATCCACCCTTCCCCCTCTTCTTCTGTCATTACACCCAGGCCTGGCCAGCCTCGGATAGTGAGTGTGTGAGTATGAAAATGGGTTAGGACTCTGGGCACTAACACTTTCTTTCTTCCTCTGAGTGACGTGGGAAGCACCCATCACTCTCAGATGTTATTTTATTATTTTATCAATAAAGCTTTAAAATTTAGATACTTGGTGTGTTCCGTCATCTTCTCCCTTAACGATCCTGTGGCCTCAGCCCAATCACCTGCCGCCTTAGGCAGACTGATAACAAAAATCTGTCTCTCTGTATTAAAATGAAAATGAATACTTGAAACTTTTATTGCAATCTCCTTAGGCTTCATCCTAGAGCCATAGCAAGTGCTGGGATGATCAGGGTCTGCTGTGAAGGACCAGAATCATGGCAGTGGTCTATAATGTGCCATGCCACCACCACAAGGACATTATAACAAAAAGTTAATGAGGTCTCCCCCCCAAAGGTATTTCTCCACTCAAGTTTGATCTTGCCACATTCATAAGTAGCAACATTTTCATGATACTTTTGGCACTGCTTAAGAAATTCCATAAAAGAAGAGCTAGTAAATTTACATACCATTTAACCCACTTAAGCTCTCTGAATTTTCAAGGGACTATATAGAATATGATAAACAAATAAATGTAACATTTAGAATAAATAATTTGGTTACCTGTTCAACTTTGATGTCATATTCCCCATGGACCTTTTTCCCGCGAAAACACTTGACCCTGGAAAAAGAAAAAAATTACTAAGTTCTGTATAGTAATACTGTCATACACATTAGAGTATTTGAGAAAGGACTTGTAGCAATAATGGGTAGCCAGATTTAGTTCATATGATTTTCAATGTATTATAAATATATATACACATACTAGATTATTGCACATCAGTCTATTTTGCATATCCATATCTTCATACCAGCCATCTCTTTTCTTTCCTTCCAACTATGCTACTCAGAAAAATCAGTGGTGACCCTAGACATGGCACTCAATGAATATCTGGGTGACCAATTTACCACACTATTGTGTCAACCTACCTTACCTCAAATATATTTATATTCCACTAGACAGAACAGGACCAGCACATTTTGACAATGTGTTCCTCTGAATTTGTTGTTTGACTATTCAGCTTAGTTTTTTTCTAGCAGCTACTTTTCAAGAAGGATTTTACTTCAAATTGGCATCCTATACTGTCATTCTATTAACGAGTATTAATGTTATTTCTTAAATACTCTATATAGTTATTTCAAAAACTTTATGCCTTTGATTCCAATTAGAATTTCATATTCATAGGTCTTACAATAAGAAAACCAAAGGCATATATCAATGCTATAATACTGTCTCTCCTTCTTCCTACATCAGTGTCTTGTTCTGACACCAGTGTTGCTCATGTGAGGAGTGGGAGTAGTGGCCTAGAGCCTTACAGGTTGGTTTCTAGTGGAGGAAAAACCACAAAGGCAGAGTCTGGGTGTATTCCAAATGTAGTTTACTTTATTTACATGCATACATCAGTCCTGAAATGAGATAGTCAATTACTTCTTATACACATCTCAGTCCAACACCAATCCTCTGGCTCTCTACCTCAAGAATTGATTCCAAACCAGGGGCGAGCAATAATTTTTGATGGGGGGCATTCCAAGAATTTGGAAAACAGTAAAAGGTTGCACTCTTCTATATTATTGGAGGAAGATTGGGGTCTGGGATGGAGGCTGGGTGCAGAAGGGAGCTTGCCGTAAGGGACTGTGCTGTGGGAGAGCGTGTGGGATCTAGGAGGGAGTTTAGGTAAAGGAGGTAGTTATGACCTGGGTTAGGGGACTAGGGTACAGGACTAGAATACAGGGATTTGGGTTGTAACCTGGGGTAGGAGATTGGGGTGCAGGATCTGGGAGGGGATATGGGGGCAAGAAGAGAACAGAGGGTTTGGGTTATGTGAGGTAAGGGTGCAGGAGGGGAGAGCAGAGGTTTTGGGTTGTAATCTGGGGCAGGTGATTTGGGTGCAGGATCTGGGAGGGGCTATGGGGGCAGGAGGAGAGCAGAGGGTTTGGGATATGTGGGGTAAGGGCTCAAGGGTTGGGGTTCCAGAGGTAGGCTTTGGCTGGGAGACTTACCTGCTTGACTTCTAGCCAAAAGCCTTCTCAAGCAGGGGCCATGTGGTTTCTGAGCTGCTGTAAGCCTGAGGGGAGAAGAGGAGGGTACTTCCCAAGCTACCTGTTGACAACAGGAAACTCCCATTGGCTGGAAATTGGCCAATGGGATTGTGCAGGGGGCGGGAGCAGAGTACAAACCCTTTCTTCCCTCCCACGGGCTCACAGCTGTTTGAACAGAACCCTGAACCCACTTTTCTCAGCAGTGTGCATGGGGCAGGCAAGGACTCTGCCTCAGGTTCTCCATTCCATCTAAAGGCCAGATCTGATGATTTGGTAGCCCAGATTCAGCCCACAGAGGGTATTTTGCCCAGGCCTGCTCTAAACAGAAATCAAACTCTTCTGCTCAAGCGGTTCCCTTTCTCCTCAAGCTACCCCATGGACAAAACCACTGAATAGCCCACCACAATACCACAGAATGTTATTCCACCAAACATTTTCAGACTGAGAAAAAATAATTATTACATTGATTTTGTATAGCAAGCAGCTAATCAATTAATCTTGGCCCGATTATTTTCTCATTGACATAACTGAAATTTCCACCACTGATTTCAATAATAGCAGAACCAGAGCCCTAGTAATTAACTGATAATATAGTCTCTGGCTAACATATTTCACAATTATTTATTAACAAAGAAGATGATCGCGAACACAGTAATGAACAGACAGACAATCTGAATTTTCACTGTATTATGGCATGCAGAAAAAAATTACACTGCAATTAATTTAGAAAGTATAATTGGCTAGGAGATAACAAGGAACACCAGATTTCCCTTGGAAATCTATTAGAGATAATTGTTTATTTGTTTTCTGATAATAAAGACAAATACTGCAATAAGTTTACATTTCATTGCACTGTATACAGTAGGTACATCTTCAGTAGAGATGGAATTTCTGCCATTGATTTACATAGAAATTAAATATACAGTACCATAATTTTTAACTAAAAATTGCTAGTAACCACAAATATTCCTTTCCAATTCCATTCTGAAACACCATATGGTTACTGTGTAACTGATAGGTGAATTAGCCAAATAAAAGGCACACATCACTACATACATCTTTTACATATTAAATAACTGTCAACTTAATTATTTTAATTAACTTAAATAATCTAGTTTCCATATTCTACCATTCTTTAAATACTGTGTCCTAAAATTATTTTTAAATTTTCCTTTAACATACTGTATAATGGGCTATTATTTATAAAAGTCTTCTCATCAATGATAAAATGATAAGAGGGATAAAGGATCTTTCGGAAAAGGCTTTATTTTCCGAAAGATCAGTGTCTAGACTGGCGCTTTTTTCCGGCAAATCTCCAAGCCAGGAAAAAAGCAGCAGCTATTTTTATGCTAATGAAGCAGGGGAGATGTAAATCCCCGCTTCATTTGCAATTGCGATATGTCTAATTTGCATCCCTTTTACGAAAAAGGAATGCAGTCTAGACACAGCTCTGTTGATATCATTTGGAGCAGGAAAGTGTTCTAAGTTTTATTTTTACTACAGTAACTGATGAGGCAAATATGATATATGATACAATGTAAAATTATTGTAATTTAAATAGAACTACATCGGCTCCAGGAATTATAGCAAGGCTACTTTTTGGCTTGCTGAAAAATAAGTTTATAATATGATTCAGCTTTATGAATAAGCTTCAAAGTCTATTTAAAGATATCTACATTCTCACATTGCTTCCTCTAAATAATGCCCAGAACTGATTAATTCCATGGCTGAGGAAATGGAACTAAAAGTTTGTAAAATCCTTTTAAAAGTTCATCCTTCCAAGAAACAGCAAGGAGTTATTTAATTCTTCAGATGACTGAGATCTATTTCATATATTGGCACATGCACTACATCTCAATTATGGTCAAATACTCAATTATTAACCTTTTCTTTTTAAACATCCTTTGGATGAGACAACTATTAAACAACTGATCTCTGGCATGATTCACATTTCAACAAATGACTTCAGCTTTGAAAATAAATAGTAATAGTAAGTGCTAAGTGATGCCATCTGGAGCCTGACAATGTTAAACACGATGGAGCTGGAAATACTTACATTAACTTAATTCCATAGTAGCATTACGAATGTGCCATACATATGCTCTCTCAGCATTTTAATATACACTGCAAGAGTTTGGTCTGAATTTCACTAAAACATACATTATGCTCATGGATTCCTACTATTAGATGACTAAACACTGGGCAATTTTTAATGTGTTTATTGGCTGTGCACAAGGAACTAAGTTAAATTTAATTATACCCCTCAATTATGAGAAACTGCAGTACCATGCTCCCTTAATTATTCCCAGCATGCTAACATAAGAAATGTGCAGTTATGCCACGTAAGACATTTATTATATTTATGTTCTTGTAGTAAAAAAGGGGGTGGAAAGAATGAGCTCATACCTTGATGGTGGTGGTTTATTTACAAAGTTTTGCTAAAGTACAGTGGGAAATTCCCATAGGATCTTATCACTTTTGGCAACAAATGTAAATCCCTCCATTTCAGCTATTGAAACATTACAGTGGAAGGTAAGGTGACTCCAAGGCTAGGCTTTCTAGATATAGCATTTTTAAAAGAGCATTCTCAGAGTGAGAAAGGTTAACAAAACATTCTGCAGCAGAATAAAGTAAAAAAGAGCAGCTCAGTGTTGATAGTGTGATGTCCAAGTATGTAGGGAAGCAGAAGGATGGATATTTTTTCTCTCTCTTTGAAGTTCATAGTTGCTTGCTAGAACATAATGTACATGAAATGGACAGGTATTAATATTTATATCTTCTATTGAAGTAGTCAGCATTGGCACTTATATACAAGATCTTTTGAAAATGAACAAAAATATTTACACATTTCATACTCTGGGTAAAATCTCATGCTTATTTAAAATCACACAACTCTGCAATTTAGTTGTCAGGGATGCAGCTGAACGTGTACTCATTATTAGCCATCCCGTTTTGCAAGAGCAATTAATAAAGCAGTGAACATTTTAAAATATGCAGAATATCCAAAAGAGAGAAGATGGATACGGCACCATCTTTCATTGGAACAACTTCTGTTCATGAGCTATGCAAGCTCAAAAGCTTCTCTCTCTCACCAACAAAAGTTGGTCCCATAAAAGGTATTACCTCACCGCCCGTCTCTCATATATCCCAGTACCAACACAACTACAACAACACTGCACACAATAATGCAATATTTTTAGCACTGGGCACTACATTGAACACCCAAACTATCAAAACAAGAATATAAATTTCTATAGTACCTTTCTCATATCAAAAAGCACCCAAATAGACCAGTGGTTCTCAAATTACAGTCCATGGCCACCTCCCTGTGGTCTGTGGCTCAAGCTAATCCTCCCACATGGGGTATGTCTAGATTGCATCCCTCTGTCGGCAGAAGGATGCAGATTTGGCAGGTCAACATTGCAAATGAGGCAGGGATTTAAATATCCCGTGCCTAATTTCCATAAAAATGGTCACCGTGTTTTGCCGACTTTGTCAGCAAAAAGCAGCAGTCTAGAGGGGTATCTGTCAAGAAAGAAAGCCTTTTTTTACAGATCTCTTATGCCTCCTGCAAGGAGGTTT